CTCTCGTAGCCATAGTAATTATGACAGGAGCGAATGGGGAGGTCAGGGGACATTGTTATATAGCAGGGGTACCTTCTCCCTATCAGGGCCATAGACACTAACAGCAATCTATGATATGTTCTTTAACTGCAGGCCAGTGAGAAAACTGGAAATTCCTTGTGGTGTCCTTATCTGTGTCATGAGCCATATCAGTAATCTCCTCAAAAGTTCTTTGGAATAAACTGGAGCTTTGGAACAATCTTCCTTATTGTGGTTTAGCAGCTCTGAAGCATCAACAAGGCTCCATCACAAATTCTGTGACTGGGGTTTTGACTTATCACATCACTTGAAACAAAACTTGCCTGTGTAATATTATCTCTGTCAGAATGAAGACTTGTGAAAGCTGCTTGTTGGACATGTTATGACACATTTGTCCTTGTAACTCATGCAGTATATTTGCTTTTTCATCAGTTAGTGTGTTCCAAAAACTGCAAACATCAACTTGTCTTTTTCTACAACAAAAAAAAAAAAAATCATTTGTCCATTTCTCTTGTAAACCAGACATTCCAGATCTACTGAGTATTTAATTCTCCCTGACTTTCTCTGACAGGCTTACAGGGACCACCCTGAAGGACATGTCAGTCTACTATTTGATGTTATTTTATTTTATCACCCCAACAAATTACTGTTATGAGAATTTCATAGTTTTTCTGAGTTGCTGTTTTTGTATTTATGAATTTCCTTGTGGATTGTAGGACAGATGTTCTCCATCACTGTTATACAGCAACAAAGTCCACAAAGGGTCAGGTTGGATGGATGAACTGGGATTGTTGTGGTTTTTTGGGACACCGCTGTTCAATTCCCATTTCCAACAGTCAATATTTGATTACGTTAACCATGAGTGTATTATTGTAACCATGGAAACAAAGGTTATGAATTAAATGATGTACAATCTGGAGAACAACAAGGAGGCATTCTGCTTTTGTCCCAGAGTTATCATGATTAAACCTTGATCCCTCCATTCCACATTAATCTTATTGATATCTTGGTATTCTGTGAATTGATTCGCACTGCATGTCATATGAACATTGATGTGTTTCTTTAACTTGAATGTATTTCATTGCCAATATTTTGAGAAGGCTGTCAGGGAAACTGTACAATTCACTGCACAATTCACTCCTACAGAACAGAGCATCAACTGTGAAAAGCAGTTTCCTCTTATATCCTGAGCTTACATATGGCCGACTGCAGGCAGGAAACAAAAATTAACCTGACACAATGATAAATGAGAACTTTGGGATAATTGCACTTGGTTTTTGGTAGCAACGAAGCTGGTGCTAGCATTGCATGTGTGAGAAGTAAAATATTTTTGAAGACATGAAGACATTTTCTTTGGCCTTAAAAACTGAGTGGAGCACATCTCTTGAGTACATATTTGCTTTTATAACCTCAGGTCGGGTGGAGCTAGTTTTTCAGATGGGGACAAGCTATGATTTGAGATGCCCATATGCGTGTGCTTAAATCCACACGCATACACGTGATATTAAGGCCCTAGGGAGTGAGGGGACTGCAGACATTGTGGTGCCTCGGTAAGTGTAGTCACCAAAGAGACGGGGAAATTTTCACATGCTCACACCCTGTATGCAGAATATCACTGCCATGCTTCGCATACCTGAGAACATACTACCAAAACAGTCCCCTTCATTCCAGACAGTTTTCCCCATTTGGTGCATTTTAATTTGACTTTTTATTATGTTTCAGTCAACATGTATGAGAATAGAAAGCCGTGAGCCATGCTCTGAAGGAGTTATTGCCTGTTTGTCATGCTCCCATAAAGCTTACTCCTTAAAGTTTCATGATAGATATTACCATGCATGGGCTTATTTGCAGGGAAGACACTCACTCTGGTTACTGTAATAAAATATTTCTGGAGTACATACTACACAAACTGCATTTTGGGAAAACTTGAACTTTAGATGATGTAAACGTAAGATTTGCAAAAGTGGATGGATTCACACTGCAGATAAATCTGCCACATGCTATGTTCAGCTGTGAAGTTCAACTGCAGGAGGGAGGCATGAATAATGAGCTGCTTGTTTACTGTGTAAAGAATCAAAAAAGGGCTCAAAGCTGAAGCTTCAGTTTACAGCTTTCATAGACTGCTTTCTGTAATCACTGCTATGTCTGTCAAGCTTTTGACCCTCTTAAAGCACAGCTTGCTGCGATGACAATTTTGACAGATTTTGAAATCTGTCAAAATTCATAGTAATTTTTTGAAATAATACGTCTTTGATTTCAGACAGAGGCAGACACACGCAGGTTGTCTTTTCAGCCAAAAGCTGTAGTTTCATTGGCTGAAATCACAACTCTTGTCTGGCACTGCCATCCCTGAGCATAAAGGCAGTCACAGTCCAGACTTCTTGTTTTGGTTTCCCGGTGGCAGACTGAGCTGCCAAATGCTGTCAGAACTCTGGTGTCCATTAAACTTCTAAAGTCTATGAGCACCTCCTCTCTCAACACGCTAACAAGCACTTTGTGATGCACTTTCATACCTGATCTCCCACGCTTATATCCTTGAGGGCTGAAATCAGGACTCCTGTAGCATTCTTACATAATTATATTTAGCTTACCTAGTTACAAAAGGTCAGTTCTATGCTTTATCCTTCATATTTTAGAACAACATGCTTTTCTTTTAACATTATAAGTGGACAAGCTTTTAGTATGAAAACTACAGACTGTATATAAAGATGGAAGACGTGTCTCCACCTCCTCCCCCAATCCAGAAATGAAGCCATAAAATCTGGAATCCGATTGCTGCATCTTGCTGAATCTAGCATTTTGAACCAGAATCTGCACAGTGTTGATCAGGGGATGGAGCTGCATTATCGAGGTCCTGCAGATACACAGGCTGTGCCACTCATGAGTCAGTCTCAGCTGTCAATCATGGCGTTTCAAATGAAACCAAACTTGAACAAACATTAAAACCAATCTTTGAGAAAATTGTGCTTGATGTGTATTTTGAATTTACTGCAGCCAGCCACCAGGGAGCGATCTCAACTCTTTGGCTTCACTTCTGGGGAGCTGTCATATCATCAGTCTTTATTCACAGTCCATGATGAGGATTTGCTGTACCAGTTAGTTTGGAAATGTAATTGAGCAGCCTAACAATTGTAGCTGAGGTACTTATGTTTAGGAATTCTGGGATATGAGAAACATAAGTTTCAAAATGCTAGATTCAGCAAGATGCAGCAATCGGATTCCAGATTTTATGGCTTCATTTCTGGATTGGGGGAGGAGGTGGAGACACGTCTTCCATCTTTATATACAGTCTGTAGTTTTCATACTAAAAGCTTGTCCACTTATAATGTTAAAAGAAAAACATGTTGTTCTACATAAGTTTCTCATAAATATAAGTTCAGGAATTATGGGAAAATACGTAAAAATGTGAACTATTGTACATGAGTCTCACTTCTCCTCACAGCAACGTGCAAGCCTTGGCGGTCTAAATTCACAACATTCTGTTCAGTCTTGTGTGTCAAAACTGTAGGAGGGAAAAAGAGAAAGAGACAAATATTACAGAAGGTATGTTGCCCTCTGACATACACAGTCATCACTTGTCTTGTAAAGTCATTTTTGCCAAATGACCTATTTTTTGGACCTGCATCCTTCACGTGAGGAGAGACAAAAGAGCAGCGAGGCTGATTAAAGCAGATCAGAGAAAATAAATACTGTAAGTTTTCATCATTTTCTGTTCAAAATTAGTTGAACTCATTTGGCCTTTAGTCTTTGATCACAATGCATTCCTAAGCAGACTGCATTAAGACATGCTCTGCAACACTGAAGTTTTCTAGACATTATCTGGAAAGTCTGCACTTGTGACACAAATGTCAGAATCAATTGAACCGGACATTAAACAGACTTCACGTTGCTAATATTTCCCTGACAAGCAAACACACAAAACCAAAAAACATCTTTGTGTATAGGCTTTTTTACAGCACATTTTAACATGCCACAGGTTTAAAGTACTGAGATGTTTAAACTACAAAGTACCACCATTTATGTAATTAATAACACCTATATTTGTATTACTTTGACATGTGAACATGACTGCCATGAAAAGGGCCCGTTACGTCCTCAATTTCACACACTGACCAAGCTCCAGCCACACACTAGGTTTTGATCTATTCTTGTTAATATTAAGATCGCCGGTGTTCATATTTTATGCTTGAAAGAAACATTAAAAAAGCTTTTTACTCCTGCGACTAAGTGCCAAACATTCTGAGATTTTTATGGCTCTGTATATCTCTACTGTCACTCTCCCTTGTATTTCTGGGCTAGAATGAGGTGATCTCTATAATCTATGGTTATTTGGAGCATTGCATCCAATATCAAGAGGAGGATGTTAACATTCTGATAATATTCTGGACACAGGACTGTGACACAGGATGTCATTGCACAGGCCTAATCCTGATGCTTTCATGGAGCTGCTTTTAGACATGCACAGATTTTCCAGAGGGGCATTTTATGTGAGAACACAAATGTCCAAGTCAGATGCTCAGAACATTCAGGATCTTCTCCTGCCAATCCTTGAGTATAATGTCAGGGAAATGTTTGGAAAATTCATAGCGAGTGAGTGGGTGCTCTAATGACATTTTCTAATGTGTAGATGTGATAAGGGCCGACGCAGGTGCATGCTCTACACAGGCACAACCCCTCGCCTGAATGTTCTGGATATTTTCCCATTGTTGTGCATGTGGCCAGACCAGAACTGTATGTACATTATCTGGATTTCATGTCTGCAACCACCTTTAGGGATTTTTATATTTTCTATATTTTTGGGTACATGTTTCTGTTCGTAATTCCAATGTCTTTAATAAGTACAGACCCAATGTTTGGGACATTTTCCAGATTATAATTTGATTAGATTTTTATTATTTATTTAGTTCCTGTCTGAAAACGGCTTTGTATTCTCCTTACTAACAGTCATAAAGGACACATGAATGAGGACATTACATGCAACATGTTCATAATTTATTTCAACACAAATGTTACAGTACATACACATTTGCTTTTTCATAAATATCACAGGACACCACATGTTGTAACAGGCTTCGTTACCTTTACAGTGAAAATAAAAAAAACTTGTGCGAAAATAGCTTGCAAACATTTAGTAAACATTTAGCTGAGTGATGACTTTTTCACTCTGGCCACAAAAAAGGAAGTTCACATATTATAGGTTTGACTTGTCATGTGACGGCTGTAACGATATTTAACTTTCATAGAAGATTCACATTTACATACATCGATTTACCAGAACAGTCCAGAATCAACGACACGAGATGTCGCAGCGACAACTCATGTCAACTTTGTGTTGAGTCACAAACAGGGAAAAATATTACGTTACAAGTCAACCAGAGTATCTCTTCAGCCATTATTTATAGTTCAAACATTTTTTTTCAAAAATACCACAGATGTTTCATGAAAGTGCTACACAGTGCTGCTGTAGGTGAGTGAACCATCAGATCTACGCTGTGGGGGAGCTGATCGTGTTCAATGGGAGCAAAGATGAATAAGTGAGGATTGCATTAGCTTTAGCCAACCTGAGCCTTTATCATTTCAAACTGTGTCAATCAATGCCATAGATCAAATTCTTTTACACTGACACATAAGTTCCACATTTCTATACTCTCTCTAAGACTGGAATGTCGTAGTGTAAGCTAATCATTCAGGACTCATTGCACATAAGTACGCTGTGTCCTCCAGCGGGAGGAGGTGAAGACATGAGTTACATTCCTTATTATACAGGTTTATCGATGAAACAGTAACCGTGAATCACTGTGGGACAGCTGAGATGCAAGGAGAGGCCACTGCCAGGAGGGAGCAGTGTGAATATATAGCTCACAACCGGTTCCACTTGGATGACAACAGATCACTTTTGAAAGAAAGTGTCACCAAAATCCACAAAAAACACATCACCACAAATATATAGCAAGACATGCGAACCATAGCTTGGGAAGTGCTTCTAAAAACGACAGATGGTTTAAATACAGATTTCTTTTTTTAATCCTGTGACTCATTAATAGTGTCAATGCATTGATTAATTCAGAGTGAATAAATACAATGGATCAAAAACCTTGGTCTAGAATCTGTTTTGTGCTTTGTGCTTTACTGTACAGTGAAAATGCTGGAGGGGGTAAAAGCGCTCCACCCCTGCATTTACTTTGCTGTAAATCCATCAAAAAGCTGGAAAGCTTGTTTTTCACAGAGCAACACTGACGTATGATGAAACTGTATTTACGTCTGTCCCTAAGGTCTGTGACAACCGCGCTGACTAAACAGTGATACAGTAAATAGAGATTCCTTTGAGGGAACTAAGTTCACAGTTTTGACAGTGTGAGCTGATCTTACTCCAGAGGCACCATGGACGAAAACACAGGTCACTAACACCGATTTAGACTGACAGAGAATCCCCAGCCCCCAACTCCCAGCAGCCACATTTAGCATGCTGTCACTTTAATCAGAACATGGAGGTTGCCAAACCGTCTGGGGGGGGAAGGGGGTCACATCCACAGTAACACCTTCATGACTCCTCTGGTGAGTAATGTCACTGCGGACCATTTAGTGTGAGAAAAGTGGAATGACATATAAAGCCCTGCATGCTGTTTGCAGGGGTCAAGAAGTGACCTTCCCAGGAGCCTGAGATCGGCAGGTGATTACAGAAAAAGTCTCATCACAACCTGCACGATAGTATTGTTTTTGTTGGGGACTTATCTCATTCTCCAGCTCAACAGCAGAGATAATGGATTTATTTGTGTTTAGTGGGCTGGGCGCAGCTGGATTGGGAGCATTTCCTGAAGACTGCACGCAGAGAGGCGTCTAAAGCAGAGTGACTGAAACAACTGGAACAGCTGCGGCACCACTCAGCGGACCGCTCATTGCACTCCTGAGTGTCTTATTCAAACGTTAAGACGGATTTCATAAATATCCAGACATCCGTTTACAGTGAGGAGACTCTGGGAAATGTCCGGGCGCGGTGACAAAGGTGCACATTTTTTTGTCTGCTCTTCTTATTTCTGTTTATCGGCCTGAATATCATGGCCACCGTGTCTTGGCATGGAATTTTGTTATCATTTGGCTGACTCTACGTGCTGTTTATTATTGTTTGTGGTTTGTACCCTTGTGCCATGGCTAAGGAAGGAGCTTCTGTGGTTTCAGTAAACACTGTTCAAGCTGAAACACAGCAACCACACAATCTAATAAACAAACATGGTTTGTTTAGCAATAGGAACAACTGTTACTGGCACCAAGTGAGGACAGGAGTGTTAGTTTGCCTTACACTTATGTGATGGCTTTTATAATGTACCAAATATAAGTTTTACTTGATGCACAGATGCAAATGCTCAAGAAGGGAAAAAAACGCTTGCAGCAGTTTCTCAGCTTGCACCAGTGAGATGTAGATAACGGCGAATATGCATATATCTGGTACTATCTGCTGACAGCAGATGCTCCCACCATGCAACAGGCTGGAAAACATCATGAGGCGGGCCTCACGACACTGAACAGAAAGGAGAGGGAGAGACAGAGAGAGCGAGAGAGTGTGTGAGAGAGACAGACAGAGAGTGAGAGAGAGAGAGAGGGAAAGAGAGACAGATTCTGCCACACCTTTTGTTGAACATCTTTTTCTCAGAAAACCATTACAATAAAACTGACTTGGAAAGTAAATGAAGCCAAATTATAATCATTGAATCGGAATGTATTTCTTCAAAAAAACAAAGCATCAATCGTACTATATTTGATCCTTCATTACTCCTTGTCCATTTTCTGATGAAAATAAATTATTTAATATCCATACCTATTTGGTGTGCTTAAATGGATTTTACAGAATCACAACACCCCTTTGAATTTCAAAATATTTTATACTAACTAAATTGTGAGATCTTTCACCAAAAATCCAAGATAAAAAAAAACACAAATCCAATTGGAGCTCGATAATTTGCAATTTCATAACCCACAGACTAATTTATCTGAGTAAATGAACATATGAGAAACTGCCCTGGTTTAAGTCCTGTGGAGTTGTGTGAAGTAGTACATAGAGTAAGTTAAGAAAGAAAAAGAAGTGATGAGGTAGATGTAAAATGAAACTGATAAATGTAACAAAAGGAAATGTGATCTCTTACAGTATGTTTGCTGTGTTCAAAGAGGAAAAACAGTTTCCCCTGCCGAACATAGTTGTAACAGTTTGTTTAGAGCAGTCTGCACATTCTCTGCCAGTCACTTTGACTGGCCTTACCTTCATTAGTCAATGGGAAAAGTTTATGAAAGCAGTGTAAACGTGTCTGGATCAACTGACGTGTTAGGGCTCCAAGCTTAAAGAACAGTCGTAGCAGTCTTTTGGCCTTTGCTGCAATTCCCATTTGGGTCCATCTCTCTGTCCACAACACTGCAGACCCCCGCACCTTGCTCCACACACCCGTCATTTGCGTCACTGTCTTCCGAACTGCCCTTACTCCTCCCTTGTTGCTCGCTCTGCCAACTGTGCCTGTCGTAGATGTATCCATTCACGGGCCCGGGGCTGCTGAGACGGTTCCTCTTCATGCAGAGGATTTCCTTGAAGGCATACCTGAACTCAGGGCTCCGGCAGTAAATTAATGGGTTGAAGGCGGAGTTTGCGTAACCTATCCAGTTGAGTATCCTGAAAGTGAGGTCAATGCCCTCCACCTTCCATATGGCCACCACCACGTTGAGCAGAAAAAAGGGCAGCCAGGACAGGGTGAAGATCCCCATGATGATACCCAGTGTCTTGAGAGCTTTGTGTTCACGCAGGCAAAACTTAGCCTTCTTGTGGGCACGTCCGTTATTGGTCTCCAGACATTTGAGGGTGCTGTTGTCGCTGTTATGAAAGCGTCCGACGCTTTGGTCGATTTTCTTCAGCTGGCGCTTGGCCTCCTGGAAAACCCGGCTGTAGACAAAAACCATGATGACCAAAGGGATGTAGAAGGAGATTATGGAAGAGGTGATGGCATAGGCCATGTTGGTGTAGAACTCGCAGCAGTCACTGTTCTCGATGCACTCCTTAGCTTCCCTATCGTCGGATATCCACCACTTCATGTGGATGGGCAGGAAAGATATCAAAGCAGCAATCACCCACACCAGCACGACCACAATGCGAGCTTTGCACTTGGTCAGCATGGACTGGTAGCGGAAAGGAGAAGTGATGGCTAAATAACGATCTATGGCAATGACACACAGGGTCTCGATGCTTGCAGTTACGCAGAGCACGTCCGTCGCTGTCCAGAACTCACACCAGAAACTACCAAAATGCCAGGTGCCAAAGATGATGTAACAGGCCCCGAAAGGAACTACGATGAGACCCATGACCAGGTCGGCACAGGCCAGGGACGTGATGAAACAGTTGGTGACATTTTGGAGACGCTGGAAGCGGCCGATTGCCGTGATGACCAGGATGTTGCCAAAGACAATGCACAGGACGAGTAAGGACATGATCATGCCCAGCAGGATCATTGTTGGCTCACTGTAACCATCCTCATGCTTTGCAGAGCCCGACGATGAGTTGATCATTTCAGCACTCACATTGAGGTACACTGGGGGGGTTGTGCTTCCCATCTGAGGACACCATGTGTTCACACACACAGACACACACACAGACACACACACAGAAAGAGGTGAAGATCAAAATGTAAAAATGGCCTGATGAAAACAGAAATCAACACTGTTCATACAGAACTTACACGTATATAAAACTAGGAGTAACAAATGTGCAGTATTCTGCCTGCTGTTAGTTTTATTTTTCAAAATAGAGAAGAAACAGAATTACACCACAAAACAAATCTATTACATCCTGTTCAAAAAAACATGCCAACCAATAAAAAGTACAAACCTCCACAGGTTGTCTTGTTTCGTGCCTCCCATATAAAGTAGAAATGTGACTGTTCAGGTCGTTCTTGTAAAGTATTCCATGTCACATGTCCTTTCTTTCTACTTCAATTTATTTTCTATCCACTCTACTATGACTTTCTCTTTGAACTGGTCTACCCTGTTTTCTTAATCTCTGGGTGCCTCACTCACTCAGTGCCTCTGTTGAGCAGTGTTTCCTCTAATGTGTCTCCCAGACTATTTGTCAGAGCCCTTATAATGTGCTGTGATGACATCACGGTCAGTGCTCAGCCAATCACACAGCCAGCCTGCGGAGGGTGCTGAGCGCTCTAGAGAGTTTGAACACACTGTCCCTGCAGCTGCTGCTGCTGCAGGGCTGCATGGGACAAAGACTGCAAACACAAGAAATGTCTTTTTTATTGACCTCTTACATTTGTTACATGCTTGTTAAAAAAACAAAAATAAAAACAACATAAGCTTAAAAGGTCTCCATTTAGAATGTGTGTATTATGTGTAGTTGTGCAGCCCAAGCAGTGAGGGAGCGTTACAGCTCTTGTCTGTTGGTCTGGATCATATTAAAAGAATTTGCTTGACTGTATGAGGAAACAGTTGAATGCACAAGTGATCCAACTGGCAAGTTAAACCATCTTTAGTCTACAATCTATGATTTAATGAGAATTTAACTATTACCATTCATGTTGTTTCATAGAAAAATACTCTAGCACTCATACAAATAGGGAACAGGTTAGCCTTTGCAGATGCTGTAAATGGAATCAAAAACATTAAAGGTGTATCTACAGATATTACAGCTTCACAAATACTGCATTAAAAAAAAGAGAGAAGAAGTTTTAGGTTTGAGGACAAATTTACATTTATGCTAATTGTCTAACATTCAGCTATTGATATGGTGGTTTCTGTTTCTGTATCTGAAATCCTATTCAAATTATTTGACAGACTGCAAGGGGAACGAGAACAGATCAGCCACTGTGTAATGTAAAGTAGGGTTTTTTTCTCTCATCATTTTGCGCTTCATCACTGCCTCTATTGAGTCAGCAAGACGCATCCCCACTAAATTACTATGAGTATGTCTGGTCACAGGTTTTTGTGTGCAAATATTAACTGAGTTTGTATCTACAAACCACATCATCTAAAATAAAGGGATATAACAGACTGGAGATTCACTAGGGAACCTGCCTGTGGGAAGTTTGCTTATCACATATGCCCAAAATTGAACTCATAGATTTACTATGTTGATAAAAACACACTTGGGGCACAGGGGTGAACCCAGTGCCGGGGGGAACTGGCCCCAGCTGAAATCTGACTGAAGTGTGTGTGTTTTTTTTTACTAAAACTAGTTATGTATAAATATGACAATTTGATAAGTATATATATATTCTTAGCTTTTTTACACTATGTGCTTAATGAAAGGAGGTATTTTCAAAATATATTCAGTGTGGCTTTGTTGAAAGAGCTAACAGTTAAAGAGGAATGACTTCAATGTGCACCTTATTGATTCAGGAATTGTGCAGGGATGTTTGACATATACATGGCCCCTTAGTAAATAATGTCTCCTTTATGGCCCCTGATTTAGAAAAAAATCTAGATCTGCCACTGATTTGACAACAAGTTAAGTCCCTAACTTCTGACACCATGCAACAAAATGTGACTCACTCTACTGCAGTAAAATGATCAATACCCTTCAGTCATCGTCAACCAATAAACATATGTTCATTAATCATCTCTGGTTGAGTTGGCATTTCGGTGATGTTCCCTTTGATAAAAATCACGAGTTGTCAGCAGTTTAGTTGCAATATAGTTTGTGTTCAAGCGAGGTTTAAGAATAATGTCTTCATTGTGGTACTGAGACTAAATCATAAACAAGCCTTTGAGATATATAAGTAGAGGTTGTTAGTTCTGTGTGGAGCCTTTACTGTGTGTGTTTGTCCCAACCTCACCTGGAAGATAGTTCCCACAGCTGGGACCTTCAGTGGATGCAGATGCCACAGGCACTGTGCCTCATCCATGTAACTGCACAATGAGCTCTCACACAGTCCACATGACCAATGACGCAACAACAAATCCAACCAGTAAATCCATATAGTACCTCCATACCCCGAAGTCAGTTAGATGTTCCGGTGCAAATCATTTTCCATGATGCGCTTTGAAACAAAAAGAAATAAAGCTGTGATCGTGTCCTGCCTCCTCTTATGATTTCTCATCTCAAGACTACTGCTTTGGGGGAATTGTGACTTTACCCATTAAAGAGCTCTTTAGTCAAAGTCTCACTATAAAATGCATTACAGAGATTCTATGTTCTAATTCTTCAGATTGTGACTTTAGTTCTTTTTTATTACTTATCTTAGCAGGTTTCCATGGACATGAATATTTGAGACCTCAGAATGAATTCAGATGTTTTGATGAGCTCTTGACTATTCCTGTATCATAACCAGTATACTGGGATTTTCACACGTGCCCATGATCTTGTGCAAGTCTCTCCTGTGCAACCCCACAGGTAAAACCCAACATGCTTAGCCTCACCCCTGAATAGACCAGAAAAATGGCGATGCACCATCAAACACTTGGATTAGGAAGATTGCTGTGGGGTCTTTGCTGTGCTTTGCAAGCTAACAACTGAGCATTTACCTACTTAAGCAAAAGATATATGTATAATAGATACATTGAAACATAATATTGATTCAACGACTGTCTTTTTCATAAAAGAAAAACAAACTACACTAATATTGGAACTTAATAGTACTTTTTGGAAAACACGTCAGTCGACCACTAAATCACTCTGGCTAAAAATTATGCATGCACCTTCATAGTAATATTAATGTAACTTCTTTTCAATGTCCTGTTTTGGAAAGTGGGAGACTGCATGTTCAATGAATCACGACTGGTTTCCTCAGTCTGTGACATCTGTCTTCCTGTATCCTGATACTCCCGAGCAAAACCATTTCACTTTGGATAACCCCCCTCTCTCACTGTCTTGGATCCTGTCTGCTCTTGGATATTGTATATTGCTCTGTTTGGATCTCTTCCAATAATATAATATCTCCTCAACACAAAATCTCCAGTTGGACTCTTCCTTTTATTCTTAAAAAAAAGCTGTGATGCTGACCTGTTGACCCATCAGCACCTCCCACCTCCCCTCAGTATATTTTTCCTGTAATCTGAAAGGAACAATACCTGGAGGCATTGTATTCGTCCATGGAAAAGCTTCAGGAGCCTGAGGGGAAAATCTAAATACTCTACATTCTCCATTGTCAGCGCTGGTGTAACCATTGCTGAGGTGCCAGATTTGCAAAAATAAAGAAATACTTACTCATTTTCATGCAGAGTTAGATGAGAGTATTGATCTTTAATGTCTATGCAGTCGATATGAACCTGGGCCCTGCGGCTAACTATCTTAAATTAGCATAAAGCCTTGAAGCAGAGTTAAACATTTAGTATTTGTCTATTGTTATAAAAAGCACATAAACATGAAAGTGGCATCAACATTTCTTTCTCTGAAAAACAAACTCTCATAAAGACACAGATTGAGAGTATTTTCCAAAATGTTAAACTATTAAATTAAGAAGAACAACTAATACATTATTACACTATAAAAGAATGAAAATGTTATAGTCAATGCTAAAAGAGTTAATCAAACACATTTACGTTTGCTGAACTATCACCGACAATGTGACAGCTGTTAAGTTCACTAGTAGACAGAAAGTATCCTGAGGTATTAAAGTGAAAGCCTGGAAGATGATTACAGTACTTGTATAAATGCACCTGGGTTGCACTTAGCAAAAAGTGATAAGACAAGAGAAAGGCACACATATGTTTCTCTGTATTTGTGCCTGTCAACACACACAATCATGCACACACTCAAGATTTTACTTGGATATACATTCCGTATATACAAATGTATAAGAAAATGTCTATATTGTCTGTCATCTAATGTGCTCTACTCTCATGTTATACGCTCACCTGTTGGTGCATTTGCCATTATTTTCTCACAACTAAACGTCTTCTACAGTTGACAAAACTTGCAAAAATGAATGAAAACATCAGAAAATGCTTTTAAAATTAATTGTGATTATACTTTCGCTGCTGCTAACTGATCTGTCAGCTATCCATTCAATCTCTGTTCAATTCAAAGAGTTATTGTTGAGGCAAATCATTGCCTCATTGAAACAATGCATTCCTCTTGGGATTAATCCTGAGCCGGGACCACTAATTGGTTCTGTTATACAGGCCCCTGGGGGACTGTGGGTGGGGTCTGCCAAAAACAAATGAGTGTATGACCTTAAAAATCCAAATGTTTCTAGAGCAATGCCACAATACCGCGTCTCCCTGTTGCAAGTGCAAAATATCTTAGTTGGTGTTGCATGTAAATTTAGGAGAACTACTTTGTGTATTTCAGTAAAGTGAAACTAAGCAGTTAAGGATCGGGTAAAGTCATTGTTCACCAAGTTTGCCCCTAATAAAGTTCAGCCGGAGGAAAAGGTTGTAAAATTACTTTTATGTACCATTCAACAAACTGGGCTGTGGCTTTCAGACAGAGCTCAACATAAACAAAAGAAAAAGGGGTGGGATCAATGTAACACAGATATTACACAGATATTACAAGGTATAAACTGTCATGTTTAAGTGTCCTAACACAACAGATCAAACTGTTTCACAAGGTATGAATGTTTGAGGGTTCAATTTGCTTCATCATCCTCTTCTACTCTGCTCTTTTAGGAACAGCACTATAGTTCAGCATGGAAAACGATTAAACATGTCCCTGCGTGGCATTGATGGCATTGAAAATAATATCTATGCCAAGGGTCAGTAAACTCTGATGAAGTCAGCAAGAGAGGGTAAAATCCCAAAGTCCTTCGCTTGACAGAGAAATGACTGGTCTCATGGGAATCACTTTACTTGACTGTCTTATTGATTGTGACACACAAAGAGAAACACTCATAGATAGAATTAGGCTTATTAATAGACACGTTTGAAAAGGTTAAAGGTCAATTGCTGGGATTGACCCACTGACCTTTTTGGTTTAGCAGAATTTCCTGTTGGAAGAGACGGTATTCTGCATTAATTAGCAGACTTATGATTTGATTGATAGTGTGAAGTAGTCTGAATTTTCACCTTTGTTTTACCCTTATGAGAAGAAAACGAATGCATCACTGTCCTTGTGAGGATTTAATTAATGCCTACAAATATGTAACATTAG